CGTGACGTCAAACATGACCACGCGAGAGTGAAAACGAGAAGTATTAAGTATGGGAAACCGTTGGTATAAACCAATTGCTTGTGTTATAAATTATAGGCATAGTTTATTTTGTTCAGGTTAGGTTTCAACTGTTTTATGTATAAAGCTTCAAGAATTTTTAATTTTTGTTTATTGTTTTCATGTTTAATATATATATATATATATATATATATATATATATATATATATATATATATATATATATATATATATATATATATATATATATATGTATATATATATTATATATATATGTTATATATATATGTATATATATATATATATATATATATATATATGTATATATATATATATATATATATATATATATATATATATATATATATAAAAATATATATATATATATATATATATATATATATATATATATATATATATATATATATATATATATATATATATATATATATATATATATATATATATATATATGTATATATATTTTATATATATATATGTATATATATATATATATATATATATATATATATATATATATATATATATGTATATATATATATATATATATATAAATATATACTGAGATAGATAGATAAAAAAATATTAGCAGCAATAAAAATCTTGTCGACATTAAATAACCCATTGAGGTGTTGATATGCCGTAAAACAAACCAATATATACTGAGATAGTGATTTTCCCAGCGTAGCTTGGATGTGGCACAAGGCCGAAAGTAAGAGGCACCCAGTGAGGATCGAACTCACAACTCAGTTGTAATTGTTCTAGCGAGACAAGCTTGCTAACCATTACACCATCTCGAGGTGTCCAATATATATATTGAGACAGACAGACAGAAAGACAGATAAAAATATTAGCAGCAATAAAAATCTTGTCGGCATTAAATAACCCATTGAGGTTGATATGCCGTAAAACAAACCAAACCAAACCAAACCAATATATACTGAGATAGATAGATAGATAGATAGATAAAAATATTACCAGCAATAAAAATCTAGTCGGCATGAAATAACACATTGATGTTGCTCTGTCGTAAAAAAAAAAAAAAAAAAAAAAAACAGAGAGAAAGAGAGAGAGAGAAAATAAAAGACTAAGACAGTTACAGATAAAAACATGGCTGTGGTAGACATATTGCTTATAAAGCATTCAATTGACTGAACACAATCAAGATAGACTTAAGCAATCGAATAACTGGTCTTTTGTCAGATCATTGCTTTTTATTTGTCTCTAATGCGAAAAGTGAAATGTATGCAAACAGATTTCACGGAAATGGACTAAAAACAGAAAACCCTTTTGAAATAGTCGTCAAATCATCAAGGCGGCACTTTTAAAGTCTACATGACGACGGAAAATATACTGAAAATAACCATTTCCGAAAATTTTTCGCCACTTAGCATGGAGAATTCATTCTTATATTCGCGAAGAGATTTCCTGAGAAATCCCGAGGGCCTTTTTGAAAAGTATTTCCTATTTAATCAATTACTACAGTAAATCTTGCTATTCTAATGTTTTTCTTGACTTTTCCGGGGTCGGCTAGATTATTGGCTTCGCCCTTGAAAAATTGTTGTTCTTGGAGTTAAGAAATCGAATTTTGTTTGTGTGTGTGTCTGAATGAAAACCAAATGCAGGTGAAATGAAGAGAAACATGAATTTGAAATTTGGTGAAAATGAAATGCTAATGAGTCAACAATAAAACAATGGTTCCGGACAGATGTGAATATCGAAAATTGAACCTTCAGGAAAAACCTACGAACGTCATCATCGTCGACTAATTGAGACAAATGGTGGAAGACAATCCGAGAAGAAAGGTTAATATCATCACACCTGGTTTGAATCATTTATCATTTGCCGAAATACATTTGCTTTGAAAAAAAAAAAACCCAAAAAAATCCTACACCAGCTATTAAAGTTTATGTATTGATATACAACATGGAACATGTTTTAGCATCGAATTTCTACCAAAGTTTCTTTTGAGAAACTTTTGATAACGAGTTTCCTCAACCAGGCATTTACTAATGTTGAACTGTTACCATCAACATTATTCTGCTTAACTGACGATAAGGCAGTAGATTTTTCCAAAATAGAAGCTAATTTAAAAAAAAAAATGATTTCATCCCAGACAAGGCAATATAGCCACTAAGACGCAGGGTTTTTTACCCACTGTGAAAAATATGAGAAAGAGAAAAACATTATTATGGTGCGAGAACAACAAGAGAAGAGGAACTAAGAAGAAAAGAAGATAACCATTGACATTGCATTTAAATTTTTGAAGATCAAGGTTGACTGGAAAGCAAGGTTATTTACCTCACCACCCAGCGAGGCAGGATGTGGCACAGGGCCGTTATTTAACGCAGGGTAAACTGAGCCCGTAGGCTCGGGCAAAAACGGGGGTAAGTAGCTTTTCTTTTTTCCAGACGAGACTCTTTTTTTGGTATATACAGAAAGTTGGATTCTATCTGGTCTGTCCGAAGGCAGAGAGATCGACTAGCTTAGCTGGAGACGAATCTTCAACTAATTGCCGAAGCAACAGAAAAGCAAGAGGCCAGAATAATGTTCCACAAATGCAAGAAAAGAAACAGTTAGCATAGAAGATACGATTAAATCTAACCAATTCAATAGGCGATCGTATATTAAAATGTGTATAAAACAAAATGCCCCTATAAATTCAGTTTGTCCGCTATAAATGACGTCATCTTTAAGTGAATTAATTCCAACAGTCTAAGAATAGCCAGAAATTGAGAAACACACGATTCTGATAACATGCAAAACTTACCACTCACAGTTCTTGATAACTGACTGTACTGACAGTTTAAAATACCCGGATGGATACAATAAATAATGTTTGGAATGTTATTTCTTTTCTGACAAAAAAAAATATCCTTATTTGGAACTCAATAAAAATTTGGACGTACAGACTTTGTTGGTTCACCCCAAGCAAAGTAATAATGGCCATTAAAACTCAAGAGGTTACTGAAAGCGAAAGAGGAAGCTTTAATAAAGGAACCAGTTTAAGGAAGCCATATGATGGTAATTGGCGTTGCTTTTAAATTTTTGAAGATTGTATCAGGCCAACCAGAAACCGAAAGAGATTTCCACAAGCGAGAAAAGAGGTATTAGAAAAGAACTTACAGTTGCATCTAGCTAGTTCAACAATAAAACGGTGAGACCTAGCTGCCTACCTAGTACTGCGCTTAAATTCATAAAATCTAGTTACCACAAAGGAAAGTTCATCAAAACAATCACCGTGAAAATATTTCTAGAAAAGATACAGATGTTGAGGCGGTGTGAAAGTGACTGAAGCCGAGACGTAAGCTCAGAACCAATGACATTGCAAATTCTTCTTTGGATTTTATCAAGAATCTTTAAATATATAACAGGGTCACCAGACCTGATTTTGGAATTGGAATGAGGGTAATAATGGTACATATCCAGAATTCATCATAAAAATTCAGAATTTGTACTTAATTCATTCTAAAGATTTCAAATAGTTCAGTGCATTGATTATTTATAAAGTTTGATATAGGGTCGATTCAGCTACAGGTACTTTTTTCCATCACTGGAAGAGGGTAGAGACTCAAAATATTAACATAAAAAGTCGAGTGATGCTTTTAAATAGCCTCGTCAGAAGTAGGCCTTCATATCGATGTCAAACATGGCGTCCTGAACACTCAGATAAAGCCGGTAGCCATTTTTTTTCGACCCAAATGTTGTTGGGTATTGAGAACATGTTTCTGGGCTATTTTTTCACGCTGAATCTGAAAATCAAGTCCGTTTTTCCCGTCACATCACGTTTTCTCAGTGCAGATAATTTCTATGTTTCTTTAAATAGGCCAAAATACACATTTAACAGTGATATGTCAGGGCTAAGTAGAACCAACTTTTAACGTTTTCAGGTTAGAATAACTTATCATAAACGAAAACGGTATCAAATACCTTAAAGAATGCACTGTCATCATTTTCAGTTCAGAAAAAGGTTTTAGAAAAAAATCACACAAAATTAAATAGAGGTAAAAATGTTTCATCAATTTTTTGAATCAAAACAAAGAAGATACAAAGAAATGAAAAATACATTCATTTTTTTTCCATCCAAAGGTATAAATCTTCTCTTCTTGGAAACTCTACGGTGCTTTTGAAGAGGTTCATCTTTTTTGGTGACCCTACAGAAATCAGCCATCATGTTAACATCTCATCTGCAAAGTGTCTAGTTGGCTATGCCTATCTGTTGTTTGGTGGCTATTTTAAGCACTGATAAAGAAAATTCTAAACTTGCTAGTCTCAAATACACTCGCCTAACACCATAACAGCCCTTATTTATCGATATTCCTATGCATGTTATACAGAGACTCCATGACAATACCAGACCTCCGTAAATTCAAGTGATATGATAAAATCTTACGACGGTTTCAGGCTTATAGTGAAAAATACTAATAAAAACTAAAAATCTGTTCTTGAATGACTTCTAAAAAGATTCGAAAAGTAGAGAAGAAACGCAAATCACAAAGCTTTAACAAGAACATTAAGGGCACAAGAAATTTTTGATATGAGATATGATATCTTAAAAATCAAGCATTTTTAGGTAAGCTTATCTGGAGTAAAATAGAATTCATTAAAAAAGTTATTTGGATACTTTTTTTGAATTATAAATCATTTCAGCATGAAAGAAATGTTGTCACTCGTATATTTAAGCATGAATTTAATTTCCCCGAAATTAATTCGGCATTTTGGCCTATTTTAATATATAAAATAAAATTATTGTACTGACAAAATTTATAATAATGGGGCCAAAATGAACTGGATTTTCAGATTCAGCGTGAAAAAATAACCCGGAAACCTATGTCCATTGCCCAACAACAAATAATATCAACCGGCGTATCTACTTTGATCATTTTCTCAAATAAGTGTTGAAAATTGCTTCAAATGAAATGGTCTTAAAGAAGACAATTCTCCATTAGGTTTGTTTGCGATTCTCGTACAATCACCGAAGTTAAGCAACGTCGAGCCTGTTCAGTACCTGCATGGGTGACTGTTTGGGAATATCAGGTGCTGTAAGTGCGGATGTGCGAGTGGTAAGGCTTACGGACCCCTCACGTTGAAACCCGGTATAATAGATAATGGTTCTAACTTGTTAATCTGAGAGAGGAATTTCAATTCCTGTTGGGTTCATTATATACCCTTACGTACAAATACCCTTAGAAAAGATATGAATCCACCTCCTCTCCCCCCAGCTATGGGTAAATTAGTAAGACTTGTATCACTACACTAAACCAAATTCTTACAATCTAAAAATATTTTCCGGCTTTACATAAACCGTAAAGGATTGATAAGCCGTAGAAAACGAATCAACCAATGAAATACTGATTAGCTACACATATAAACTACTAAAGTGAGGGATCAGTTTATATATTGATGATGATATAAAATCTAAAAATATTTTTGGCTTTAAATAACCTGCAATAGGTTGATATGCCATCGAACACAAATCAATCTATCAATGAAATACTGATTAGCTACACAAGCACGTTTTTAGATTTATTTACATTATCTGGGATATAAATATAGAGAAACTACCATGGTTTTAAAGTGAGGGATTAGTTTATTTATTGATGGTAATATAGAATTGATCCCCCACTTTATATCCACATTATAATTTCTGGTTAATCAAATTCTCATTAAGTATTGTATCCACCGTTTCTCCCCACCAAGTTATGGATTAAATAGACTTGTATCACTAAACCATTATCATCTCAAAAAAAAAAAAAAAATTGTTCCAATCTAAAAATATTTTCTGGCTTTAAATAACCTGCAAGAGGTTGATAAGCCATAAAAAACGAATCAATCAATAAAAAAAGAATACCGAAGACGACCAGCAATGAAAATGGATAACACATAAAACTAGAATGGAAAATAATGATACAATCAAGATGTGAACTCTCCATAGTCCCATAAAGAAAAGGTTAGGAAACAAACTGCCATCACTAATAGAAAGAGCTATAACAGTTAGTTGACTTGAGAAGTTTATTTTCCTGAAAACCTGTTTTAAATGAAAAATCTTTACAAATTTTAACCGGCAGTAACGGTTACTTTTCGGTCAATGAAAGTCTAAAGTTTCCTGTATGGTAACGGCTTTCTCATCAATTCTATTATCATATACCGATATTTTTTTTTAAGCGTTTCACCCCAAGCAAGGCGGGAAGCCACTAGCACGCAAGGGGTTACAGAAGATTTGGAGCACGATCAGATAGGAGTGATAGAGGAAAGGATGAAGAGAAGGATAGTGGATAGATCAAGGCAACTGGAGATGTCGATTGACATTACATTTGAATAGCTGGAGATTATAGCTCTCAGGGAAACTGGAATAAGGAAGGGAGTTCCACAGGCGAGAGGTGCGAGACATGAAGCTATTGGAGTAGAAGAGACGGCTACATTTAGGAGTTTCGACAGTGAAAGGGTGAGATTGGGATGCCAGCCTCGTAGGGCGCTGGAACTCATGAAGTCTGGGAACCAGCGAATGCAGCTCCTCGGAGCAATTGCCATGAAAGTATTTGTAAAAAAGACAGAGAGAGGCGACGGCGCGTCTGTGAGAGAGTGACTGTAGACGAGATGCCAGAGCAGGGCCAATTATATTGCATATCCGCCTCTGGAGCTTATCAAGAAACCCGAGGCAAACAGAAGGGGGTCCAGACCATATATGGCAGCAATACTCCATGCAAGGACGAATGGTTGATTTGTAAATTTGAAGGATCGATTCCGGGGAGAAAAAATTCTTGGCGCGGCACAGAGAGCCAACTTTCCTTGCGGTGGACGAAGCAATTGACTCAATGTATTTGTTCCATCTCAGGTCAGCCGTCAACGTGAGACCGAGCAGCCGCAGAGAGTTGCTCTCGAGAAGTTGAGCGTCAGACATTCTAATGGAGGGCAGGGAAGGATCTCTGTGGTGATTAATAGAGAGCAGTTTTGTTTTTGAGGCATTGAAGTTGACCAGCCAATTCCTGCCCCAGTTCACAACCAATTGGAGGTCCTTTTCGAGACGCACGGCCAGGTTAATTTTGTCAGCGACACTAGATTTGTTTCTGAGGCAGGAGTAAATTGTAGTGTCGTCTGCGTAGATGCTAACTTGGGAATTTATGGCGTCAGGAAGGTCATTTATGTAGATAAGGAATAGCGTGGGGCCTAGGATGGAGCCTGCGTTCGTGGGATAGAAACTGGAGGAGAATCCGTTGAGAACTACATTCAATTCACGGTTTGACAGGAATTATTGTATTATATAATATTCTTAGTTCGTCTTCGAATCAACTGCGTCTGATTTGGCAAAACTGAGGGTACATTAAAAATATCACTCCAAAATTATAACCTCTGAGTTACTTAATATTGGCATAATTATAGTGTTATGTAGTGGTTTCACAGTGGAGGCTTGTATTTTGTACTAAGTCGGTCATAAAATAGATTCGACGTACAAAACGTTAGGAACTTGATATAATAGGTAATGACGCAGTATCCTAGTTGAGGTGGCTGATACTTTAATACCTGACTAACGGTTGTCCGGCATCGACTGACTGACCAACTCACTGAGCGACTCTGCGACTGCTACTACTACTCCTACTTATTATAGGTCGGAGAGTCTATTAACAATAGAATAGGTGTGTTCCACTATAACAATACGGTATATAGATATTTTTTTTCAAATAAATAGGCAAATCTAAAAAACAAAAAGTAGTGTATGGGAGGAAGTATATTTTACGAGGGAGCAGTTTCTTTAAAGAAATCACTTTGAAGGCGCATTCCCACAAAGGCAAAATGACCTTGAGAAAGTCGTCAGGTGATGATGACAAGACATTTTTCAACAGCCTCTTTCTGATTCTAAGTGTAAGTGTCCTATTGGTTTTCCGTTTCTCTAAAACTTTGTCATTGCACATGATGTTACGTCAATGGCCTTTCCAGGAACTTATGTTCGAGTTATGTTCTTAAATAGCTTCGTTAGATTTAGACTCTCATATCGATGTTAAAAGGGTGCAGATCTAATTTCAACGTGGAAATAATTTTATTTGCAACAAAAAAGAATGAAAGATGCAGAAAAAATGAATTCTGAATTATTTTATCTACTAAGGATTTTAATGCTAAATTAAAAATAAAAAATTAACACCAAATCGTTGCATTTTGTTTAGGAATTCAAGGAATTTGTTAACTTTGATTTTATCGAATTGAAATTAATTCCGAGTTGAAATTAGTTCCGAGTTTAAATTAGTTCCGACTTGAAATTAGTTCAGAGTTAAAATTAATTCCGAGATGAAATTAGTTCCGACTTGAATTTAATTCCGAGTTGAAATTAGTTCTGAATTGAAATCAGTTCCGACCTGAAATTAATTCCGAGTTGAAATTAGTTTCGACTTGAAATTAATTCCAAGATGAAATTAATTCCGAGATGAAATTAGTTCCCAATTGAAATTATTTCCGACTTGAAATTAGTTCCGAATTGAAATTAGTTCCAACTTGAAATTAGTTCCGAGTTGAAATTAATTGCGAGATTAAATAATTTCCGAATTGAAATTATTTTCGACTTGAAATTAGTTCAGATTTGAAATTAGTTCCGAATTGAAATGAGTTCCGAGATTAAATGAGTTCCGAGTTGAAATGAGTTCCGAGTTGAAATTAGTTCCGGTCTGAATTTAATTCAGAGTTGAAATTACTTCCGAATTGAAATTAGTTCCGACTTGAAATTAATTCCGGTTTGAAATTAATTCCGTATTGAAATTAGTTCTGTCACTCATGTCAAACATGGCGTCTGGCACACTCAGATCACTCTATTTTAACCGTTTTCTCAAACTGGTGTTAAAAATGGCTTTAAATGAATGAATCCTTTAGGTCGTAAAAAAGGCAATTCTTCGTCAGATCTTACAGACTGGCAATACAGAATCACAATTTTAGCAGATAAAAAAGACTTAGAGATTTCCATCAGTAAGAACAACTAAAACGAATAACACATGGAACTAGAATAGAAAATAATAACATAATTAAGATGATGGCTTTCCACTGTGACAGTTAGGAAGGATACTCCCATCACTACTAGAATGAGCCATAACAGTTAGTGGACGTGTTTATTTTCCTGACAAAGTGTTTTGAATGAAAAACATTATACATTTCAGTCGGTAGTAACGCTTAATGTTCGGTCATCAACTGCTTCCCATTTGGCAACACTGAGAGATCCTAAAAATATCTCCGAAATTATAATCTCTGAGATTCAATAATGATACTCTAATACCTGCTGGAACACCTTTTATATATATATATATATATATATATATATATATATATATATATATATATATATATATATATATATATATATGATAACGCTGGTCAATAACAAAAAAATTGAAATGGTGTTGAGAAACCAAACATCTTTTTTTAGCTAATTTGAGGGCGCTGAATCTGAAAATGACTTTATTTTTTCATGGTTAGCTACCGTTTTTGCTGTACAGAAATGCTTCATTTTTGGAAAAAGAAGCATTTTTATTTTCATTTGTTGTCTGCATATGTGAAATTGACCGGTGGAAGTATTCCTCAAAATAAAATCGTAGAAATCTCTCAATTCGTATTTAAACCAACAAAGTTTGGTCTGCTTATTGAGAAACTATTTTTGCAATAACAATCAGACCCTGAGATTTTAAAAATAACATGATTGAATATACCAAAACCAACAAGTATTATTTTTCAAATCATTTAATAAACTAACAGCAGAAATAAAAACCTTCGTGGACATAAGAACTATAGTAAAAAAATTTCTTATTCTTAATTGTCTGTCATGTTCAATGTTATTTAAGTCCCTTTTGATACTCCAGCAGTAACATGTACAATGGAATAAATGCATTCAATTAGGATGTCTTTAGTTGGAGTTTCTTTCCAACTATGAAAGCAAAATGCTCTCAATGTGTTTGGTTTCCTTCTGTAGTGAAGGGATAAAAGTGATGGGAAAAATTTATGAACATCAAACAGAAGATTTTAGGGTTTCACTTTTTTGATGTCACTTTAATTATCAGGTTTACTAAAGTGTA